CTTTTAGCCTCTTCCTTCTCCCAGCTCTATCTCCCGCCTCTGAGGCAAAAGAGAGCAGTCTGGGGTTCTCACTGTGTAGCCTCAGCTCTGGAGTACAGAGAGACTGCTAAGGGGGCGTCCGACTCAGAATGAGTGCCCAGCAGCGAGGGGGGGGCGGTTTATATGTCTTGCTGTTGTTTGGTGTACACACAGTCTCTCTATTTACTACCAAATAAAAGAAATACATCTGTGTTGCCATCCGAAACAGTTCGCGCGCTGGCTCCGCAGTCTCCCAGGGCACGGAGGCATTCTGAAGCCCTCAGAGCTGCAGTCTGACACCGTGGGGACCCAGCTCCTGTGAGGTCCTGGCACAAAGGAGTATGAAGATCTGCGGAGAGAGCAGGCTCGCTATTTTGTCTAAGATGAGGAGGAAGCTCTAGGCATGCTTACAAGGAGGATTTGCGTAGCCATAGTGAGAGTGGCACCTTGCTCCCTGTCCAGTTCTTCCAGAATTCATCACAGCTTGCCTTAGCCCAGGGCGATCCGAAAAACCAGCTGCCTAGAGTCACCTCAAACAAGGTGGAGATGACTATGACTGTGCTTAGGGACATCGATTATGCTAAATACATACGCGGGTGTGTGCTAGGAGCCCGTGGACGTGGTGTCTGCTAGGAAGTCTGAAACGTGTGTATGTGTGTGGCGAGTGTTTATGCCAAGTGTGAGTGTATCCTGTGTGGCGTGTGCATTTGTGCTTGGTCGATGTAGAAGGATTTAGCCGTGAAGCCAGTTACTTGCATTGACTTGGAGATTAATTGGGGGTGCAAATGGAGAAGAATCTGAAATTAGGGTAGGCAGAGAGAAGTCAGGGTGCTACAATCTGAAAGACAGACAGGTAAAAGGGTAAAACTGAGGGTGTCAGTTCAGCATCCTGATAGGGAACACGTGCTGCCCTGGTTTCACTGTGGAAAGCCCAGGAGGAATTTCACAGAGGCACCTCCACCTCCAAAAAAAAAAAACAAACAAACAAACAAACAACTCTCTGCTTCCATACAAAATTACGTTAAATGCTTTGGTTCTTCAGATGGCAGCCACGGATTTAATTTATTTGAGTAACATTTATATAATATTTGCAAGTTGTTTAGCCACCTATTTTGTTCTTGAAGAAGAATCATTTTGGCAGGTAAACCATATCTTCACAGATCCCAGAACCTATAAAAACTAGCCTTCTGTCCTTCAGTCCCGCTGAAGTCCCTAACTTCCATCTTCTGCCTATACTCACGTCTTTTGCTTTGTGTTTACATAGTTGCTTCCCACTTGTAAATACGTGTTGAAATTAAGTGTTTGTATATTGGTCTCTTCTAAGGCCAGAGTGTAGGTCATTGTCGATGTTCCATAAATGTTTTTTGAACCAATGTAATAAAAAACACAGTTTTGCACCTAACTTACTAAAGATGCATGGGAGAACAGACAAACCTATTCCGATTATAAAGTGGGCATTCTCTTCAAACAGTGGCTCACTCAAAAAGATGAAATCATTCTACCATCTACATGTATTTCTTAGAAAATTCTTTCTATGACTTCATAGTGGAGTGTCGGTATATAAAGTGCATTTTCTCCTACTGGAACGATGATTTTTCTAGGAAAGATCATGTTTTTCTAATTTTGAGAGAATGGTCAGTAGAAAAATGGGCAGATGGGTTTATTTCCTGCTCTCAGTCTTTTCTTTCTCCTTTAGTTGACCCATCCATTGTGTTCACTTCTTCAGCGTCTTCTGAACGAATCTGTGAGATGATTTGGTCATGATATCATGTTCGGAACAAGTAATGAAAGTTTCTTGGTCAAGCAGGACAGAGTAAAAGTGTTTTCAAAGGGTGTGGCCTGCTGCATATTTTTGTAAAGTAAGTTTTTTCAAAAGAAGTATTTATTTCACTTTATTACTATTAAAAAAAAAACAAAACAAAAAAACAAAAAACAAACAAACAAAAAAAACCCCAAAAACAAAACAAAAAAACCTTCTTTGGACAAGTTGTACCAGCAGCTCTGAGCAATCTTTGCGGGGGGTGGGGGTTGGGGCGGGAAAGAAGAATGGAGGCTACTGAGTGCAGAAAGATGACCCCAGTCAGTTCTTGCGATGTGACAGTCCCATCAAGTGCTTCCTTGACCTTCCCAGACATGAAAGTCTCAGGAAACCTGCAGTCAAGTTTAGGATGCATCCTGTGCAGAGCATGCCCAAGTTCCGCTGCTGGCACTCTGGCTCAACTCCTCTTTCACTAGGAGAAATGCCACGACCCAGACCTGACGGAAGGGAACTGGACGTTTCATACCTGGGCCAGCTTCTAGGTTCACACATCTGCCAGTCCCAGGTCACATCCACTGCTGCCCCCTCCCCTAGGGCACACAGGATGGCTCCAGGAGGGATGTCACCGACCCAGGGCGGCCAGACCCCCCAACAGGAGGGAAATGAAGGCTTCAGGGAGCAGGACAAAGGATGAACTGTGGCTATGGAGAACCAGTTATTTCTCGACTTTGTAAAGACCAGGCCAGTCAAGAACCGTTTTCTAGAATCCAAACACAAATAAAGAAGTATTTTCTTGGCATTTTATAACATCGTGTTCTGGCTATAAAGTCTAAGGACATGTTTGCTATTGAAACATTATTTTTAATGAGCTGTTATTGGCCTGAACTGCAGTTAGTATTGCCAACAGTAAAAGGCATCACTATGTTTGGAGGTAACACAAGGAACAACATATTTTGGCCCCGAATTTCTGTTTATTTTTCATTTACGACACATGCCCTCGTTTTTATTTCAAACCCGAGGGAAATAAAAGGAGATCTATCTTCACTGGGGTCCAGGCTAAAATTTTGCCATAAATACACATGCTGGTTTATTTGGGGGCAGTTTTCCATCAACGGAAAACGGTGCTCGACGTGTCAGCCACTGTAGAATCAATTGTGTGGATTGAATTGGAGGCAAAGCACTGGGAGAGTGAAGGAAGTGCGAGCAGGCGCTCCCCAGCGGTCGCGCCCTGCGGCTTGCTCTCTGGAATTTTCTAAACCTCCGGGTTACCCATCTCTCTCTTTCAGATCCCCAGCCTCAAGCATGCCCTCCCAGGAGTTGTGCGTGCAGACCCGCAGTGTGAGAGTTAAGAAGCCACACTGGGTTGGTGAGGGCCGCCCAAGCATCTGCTTCTGCCAGACCAACCTGCCCTTTCCCGTGGTCCCCGCGCGCTGTGTCCCTTAGGTAGCCCGAGTGGTTAGTGGCCTGGCGCCCGTCAACGTGTGGATGCTGCAAGGGCTGCGCTTCCGGACTTTAGTCCGGACAGGGCGGGGGCTCCAGAGACGGTGCCAGCTAGGTGCTGGGCACTAGTGAGCAGTGCAGGGCTGGCTGCCGTGCCGGGCATACTCTGTTCCCTGGTACTTGGTACACTAGGACAGATTCCACACCACAGCAGCCCCGGGAACCGCAGTTTACCAAGCCCTGTGAAGCCTCCCAGTCCTGGAAGTGAGAGCTGCGTCCCGGGGACTAGCTGACCTCTCCGGGACTGCCCTCTCGCGGCCTGGCCTCTCTCAACCAGACGACTGGCCTCTGGCCACAGCTTAACTCTAAACTCACTCCCTTCCCTCTATCACTCCGGGGAGACCAGAGCCCACCATGCTCTTGGTCTGCTGAAGAGTGTTCAGGATGCCCTGGCTAAATACTGCGGATTCTGGAAGGAATCGTGGTTTGGAAACCAAACGCCAGGCTGCAGTCCTACCTCCGGATATACCAGCTGTCTCAGAGCTCGCCGCTGTCATTTTGCTCAATTTTCGAAAACTAGAGAAGCCAAGGTCCTCACCCCTTCCGCCCCACATTCTTCCTTCCTGGCAGGGCGCTTGGAGCCGCAGAAGATACTGAGGAGAGCGCGCCCCGGATCTGGAACAAAGATGCCTCTGTCTCCTCGCCTCCTGGATTATAGGGATGAGCGTCCAGGTCAGATTTAGCGAGCGCAAAGGCAGCCAACCAGCGAGACAGAAAAAAGTTTCTGAAACACCTGCTCCGAGTAAAGTCGTCCAAAGTTACACTCCGGCAACACGAAAGGCTTCGCTTTTCTTTTTAATTAATTCAATTTCACGACAACGTTAAGTGTAACAATATTTTGTGGGCTTTTTTGTTTGTTTGTTTTTTTAAAAAGGGACTGAACCCGGGCAGAGGTGAGGAAGATGAAAGGAAACAAACTACCGCAGAACAACAGGTGTAGCAGACAGGGGAAAAAAAATAGATTGTGTGGCAGAGCGAGGAACCCTGCAGAGTTGAGGATGAACTTTACAAGAAATCTGTACATTTATCAAATAAGTTAAAATTCTAAATTGATTGTCCTTCACTTAAAGCGCTCCAGTATGCCTAACTTACTCCTTTAAGCATCGCTACTTATGCTTTTTTTTTCTTTCCCCCTTCCTTCTGCTTCATAGTTTCTTTCTAAATGAATGACCACGATTATACACGGAAAAGGTCTGCTTCCCTCAGTGGAGGAAAAAGCAGGGCTCTCAGGACATTTTGTACAATATTGCACAGGTCAAGGTACAACAGTTACTGCAGAACAAAAAGGGACGGGGAGAGGATAAAAGATCGTTTAAAAAATATTGAAACTGCTCTCTCAAAACAGGGGGAAAATAGTAATATTAATAATTTACCAACAAGTGAAATTTGCAAAATAAATGCTATTAATAAATAAGACCACTCAAGCTGGGCTGGGTATGGAGCTGCTTCCATAGTCAGAATTCGGATTTTCGGACGTCTTATTTTTCTCCCTTTAGACACTTAATTAGAGATCCTGTGACAAAGCCAAACAAATGAAGGGGTTAATTGTAACAGACCTCTCCTGGAGAGAAAAGCAAGAGGTCCGAGTCGAGTCGTGGTTCTTATGAGAGTCTGGCTGCTCAGATTCTGAAAAGTGGAGAGGAATAACTGATTGGGGGTGGGGAGGAAGAACCACACCCAGAAATCTAGAAATAAAAGTACAACCTTTAAGAATTCTTTCTCTCTCCGGATTCTGAAAGTGGTTCAATAGAAAATGAATAAATTAGAGGGATTTGGGCTTTGCGCTTGTTTTCCTTCTATAAAAATAAAACCAAAAAGCCACAGCGCAAGGCAAATTTGGGAGGAGGACTGCACATTTTACAAAATCTTTCAGCTGAAATATTTTATCCCGGGAATTTTGTCTTTTTCCTGCTTTCTCTTAATAGAAATCAAAACCAAAAGAGGGAAAAGCGCCTCTAATCCGTTGGGGATGAATTGCACGAAAATGCATTGCAAATACTTACAAAACGCTAACGATTGGGGGAGGGGAGGCCGGGGCGGCGCTGCGAAGCCCCAGTTCCCGAAGGCCGCTGGACGTCTTGGCGCCCTCGACCCGGCCCAGTCTCCTCCGGGGTCCGGGAAGGGGGCCGGGCGCTCCCTCCCCCGCCCCTCCTGGGCCTCAAACTGGCCGAAGCAGCGGCACGGACGAGACCACCGGGTGAGAGTAGTAGACTGGGTGCGGGAACGTGAGCAGTGGCTGGCTGACCGGCACCGGGGCCCCCGCGGCCGCAGCCGCCGCGCCCCCCGCCGCTGAGTTCTCGTGGTAGAGGATGGGCACTCGCACGATGCGCTGCGCGGCGGCGTGGCTCAGGTTGGCCGCCTCTAGCTCCGCCGCCAGCTGCCGCTTCCACTTGTTGCGACGGTTCTGGAACCAGATCTTGACCTGCGTCTCGGTGAGGTGCAGCGACGCAGCCAGGCCAGCGCGCTCGGAGCTGCTCAGGTAGCGCTTCATGTCGAAGGTGGACTCGAGCTGGAAGACCTGGCTGCGCGAGAAGACAGTGCGCGTCTTCTTCTTGCGGCACGCGGGCTTCTTCTCCGGACTCTCGGCGCCCTTCTTCCAGTCCTCGGTCCCCGGCGTCGCCGCCGCTGCCGCCCCGCCAGTCGCCCCGGCCGCGCCCGGCGCTGCCTCGGCCTCCTTCTTGCCTTCCTCAGAGTCGCTCTCCTCCAGGATGATCTCGTCCGGGCTTTTGGAGTCCAGCTCCTTGTGATCCGGGTCGGTCTTGAGCAGCGGCTCCGGAGAGTCGCGGTCAGTGCCGGAGGCGGGGGAGGAGTCTCGCAAGAGGGTCTTCTCCGAGGCTGCGGAGACACAGACACGGACGCACACACACGCACACCGACCCATACCTGAGAGAGGCCGGGCACCTGCGGGCGGCAAGCGCAACCGCAATCGCGCCAGCCTCGGGCCCCGGGCCCCGTTCCCATGAGCTACCTCCTTCCTGGCTGGGTTAGATTAGGGGCGCAGCGTCCTGGTGGTGGCAGCGAGCAGGTGGTGGCAGCGCTTTCTTCCACCCACGCAGCTCGCCCCGCCAGGGACCCACGGAAAGATTTTCCTTCAGTTCCTGCCCGCCGGAGTCACCCTCACCTTCTAGGCCTCACCCCCAACCCCGACCGTCTGAAGCCTACCCACTCACTTCCAAGGCCACTTTTCCCGAGAACCGCCGCGCCCCAGTCTCCAACTCCACTTTTCTCACCAAGTGGGATTGGATTCCCGAGAGCACCGATAGGTGCAGACCACCGGCGGGAGGGAGTTAGACATACACCGAGTTTTCGGGTGTGGGTCCCCGAGCTGCGGGGGGGAAGCAGCGGGGCTGGGCTGGGACCCGAGCGCGACGACTGGGCTAAGGAAGTAACGAAAGTTCAAAGAGAGGTCGGTACCTTCAGGTCTCGGGAGGTGGCCGCCGGCGGGGGTCAGAGTGTAGGGGTACCACCAGGCCGGGGAGCGCTCCAGGTAGTGCGCAGGCAGGGCAAGGCTCTGTGCCGGGATCTCAAAGCGGGGGAAAGCCAGGTCGCCCACCTGCGAGAGCGCGAAGCCCGCGGCACCCTCCAGGGCCCCCTTGGCTGCCGCGGGGGGCCGCGCGGGCGCGG